AACATTTCACAACTTCGAAAATTTAATCGAAAAAATATTTGAAAATATTTAATTAAATAATTAATTAAATATTGGGTGTTACACTTTTATTTAAAACCTCATTTCTTCTTCCTGTTGCAATTTTCCCGAAAGTTTTCTCTTGGACTTCTGAGTTTTCCTCTTCAATTACCTATTATCGTCTTCCTCAATCTCAGGTAAATCTATTTCTCCTTTCCTTTCGTTTTATTTTCTAAATCATGGTGCTTATACGAGAGTGCGACGATTTGAGGAATGTACATGTTCCCCAAAATTCCCAAGAGAGAAGTGAGCTTTGGGCGCAATGCATGAGTGTTTGTAAGGATCATTTGGGATGAGCCGAATTCGACCTAATTATTGGAGAGGTTTATGGGGTCATTTAGGTGTCTCTTAGTGATTCTGACTCAGAATCTAACTCATCAAGTTATGTAGATGTTCTAATGGAGCCGAACGACTCTTGCATTGACTCATAGGTTTTGGGCTATAAGAATAACTTAGTTGATTATAGTGACATTGGTAAGCTTAGATCTAGCATGAATCTTTCCTCTACTAGAAATGAAGAAGATGTAATTTTGGAAACCTATGAGGAAAGTGATGGTGATTGGCTTTATCGTTCCAGAGGCGTGGACGAGGAATACTTTTATTTTTACATTGGAGTACTCGAGGATTTCAAGATCCAGATCCCCTTTTCTGATTTCGAGGCCGGTTTACTCACCGTTTTAAATGTAGCTCCAGTCCAGCTACACCCTAATGGTTGGGGTTTTTATCAAGGCATTTGAGATCATATGCAAAGTGCGGAAATTAACCCACTATGGGACTATTTTTCTCTTTTTTTGAGCTGAGAGGTGTAGATAAAGGTAGTTGGATCTCTATTAATGGGTCCCTTGGTAGGATTTTTATTCGGGCCTTTACTTGCCATTACAAAAGCTTTAAGGATAGATTTCTCTGTATTATGGGCGATAACAGGTGCCCTATGGTTTTGTACAAGATGGATGGAAGTCGACGCTCTCTATTTTACAAGACGGAGAATCCAACAACGATTATTGGTTTTGATTATGATAAGTTGAGAATGGAGGAGGTCCAAGCTCTATAAAATTTAGATTCCTTCAAAATATTTAAGGTTAAAGACATAATGAACATGGTCAGAGACAAAGAGAAAATCTTGAAATATATGGGTAAGGCTTATAAATCCTATATCATATGAAGTTATTATGTGTTGTTTTCCTGACCCTATTTTGTCTCTTATTTGTAGTGAAATTTGTGACTACTAACATCAAGGAGAAAAGAAAACTGATGGTCGAGACCAGAGCCCAGCGGACTGAACAATCTGCTCTAAAATTTGATTTGTCTGGCATACAAAGCCGAGTCATCAAGAAGAGAAAAATAGATGTGGGAAGATCACTTACCGTAATATCAGCACATGCCCCTTCTAAGCACCCTCAACAAAGTTCTCCAAAGAGGGTAAAACCTCTTATGGGTGACCCCATGAGCAAAGCCGATCTGAATATGACTATTTTGATACAAGAAATCGGTGGCAGTACCCAACAGCCGTGGCCTTCTCCTGAAATTAAATTCTGGTCCAACAACTTGGATGGTATGAAGTTTCTTTACAATCATTTGAAATCCTCTAAGGATGTCAATAAACAAAATCTATTGGTGCTCAAAAATTAATTTAGAATTTGAGTTCCTATTTGATGCGGAGTGTCATTCTGGTTCGGGCTTTTTTCGAAGTTGGAGATTCCTCCGATCAAGCTGAAGAGCGGCTGGACAAGGAAGTGACTAAGATGAAAGAGGATCTCAAGGTCCAAACCGACCAAGTGGAGGCTTTGACCAAGCAGCTGATCGAGATGACCAAGAAGAAGGAGGACGTCACGCCACCATTGCTAGCCTGATCCAGGATGTTGAACAATCCTGGGAGTCTACCGAAAAGCTAAAGCAATCCTTGAAGGACGCTCAAGTAGATCTTCTAGCAGCTGGTGACAAAGCTTTTGAAAGAGAAAACGTTGAAACTTTGTGCCTCCAACCCAGCTTTAATGTAGCCGAAATGGACTACTTAAAATTTGTGGTAGATGAACGCTTATTGGAGATGGATGCGTGTACCTATAAGGGTGATGTTGACGACAAGGGTGAAGCCGAGAAAGAACAACTCAACCGCATTCAAGATGAAAATCAGCCTGATGTTTGAATTCTATTTACCTACTTATTAGTCATCCATGTGGGGGTGAATTTTTGTAATCTGTTGGATAATATTTTGTTAAGCCCTTTGTGGCACCGCACGATCTTTCAAGCCTGACTTTGAGGCTTTTTTGTTTTATGAATACACTTTCCTTTTTGTGCTTTGAGTATCGTGAGTCAAAAATATCTTTGCAGGTTTTACTTCTTTTAACTAGGATGCCTATGAGACCCCCGCCAAGCGCGAGGCCCATGCAACGAGGTGAAACATTGTGAGTAAAACCAATCTCGATCGAACTATTCCGTGAATATTTCTTATCCAAGTGTTATGATAAATGAACTCGCTTTAGTTTGTCTAGTAGGTTACTTAACCCAACTTATTCGACTCAGAAGATGAGGAGTGTCAACTCGATCCAGAGGCAGGAGAGTGTAGCTGGTTGAGACTTAATTTAGATCTGATAAAGTACTCGAGTCTCGGAAGAAGAGTGTCAACTTGATCCAGATACCGGAAACTACATTCGACTGAGACTTAACTCAAATCTGATAAAGTACTCGACTCCCTCAAATCGATCCGGAAACCGGAGAGTGCAGCCGGTTGAGATTTAACTCAAATCTGATAAAGTACTCGACTCCCGAAGGAGGACTGACAACTCGATCTGGAGGCCGGAGAGTGCAGTCGACTGAGACTTAACTCGGATCTGGTAAAATACTCTACTCCTGAAGAAGGAGTGTCAACTCGATCCGAAGGCCAAAAAGTGTATTCGGTTGAGACTTAACTCATATCCGGTAAAATACTCGACTCCCGAAGAAGGAGTGCCAATTCAATCTGGAGGCCAGAGAGTATAGTCGGCTGAGACTTAACTCAGATCTACTGTAATCTAGGGCACTGCCTCCGCCTCGACCTGTTTGGTGAAATAATCCACTGCCACTATCAAAAATTTAAGATGACCCGTTGCTAGCGGAAAATGAAGGATATCAGACGCCCATTGATAAAACGACTATGGCGAGACCACTGAATGTAATAGCTCAATAGGTGAATCTACGAATGGAGCATATATTTGGCATTTCTCACAACGCTTAACAAATAGGGCACAATCTTGAAGCATGCTCGGCCAATAGTACCCGACCCACCATATTTTTGTCTATAAAGTCCTTCCTCTGATATGGCTTCCACGTACGCCTTGATGCACTTCCTTCATTATTGGTCTAACATCTTTCTCATAAACACACCTTAGCATCATCGCTGATCTGCCCATTTTATACAACTTGTCAACAACCATGAGATACCTTGCAGACATCTTTTTGATGCATCGTGCTTCCATCTCGTCATTGGACAATCTATCAAGGGTGAGGTATTGGATGAGGGGAGACATCCAACCCCGAGTGTTTTCCAAAACTATAACTTCTTCAGCTTCTGTGCTCGATGCTTCCAACGTTTTTTGAATAACCGTCTTGTTAAGCCCCAATCCTTTTGTGCTAGCCATTCGGACTAACAAGTCAACCCGAACATTGTCTTCTTAGGGAATGTGTAAAACTTCAAATTTCGTGAATCCTTTAGCCAAATGCAGCGTCCGTTGTAGATATTTCAATAAGGCTTGATCCTTTGTCTAGTAACCACTTGCGATCTGGTTCGCGATCAGTTGGAAATCTGTGCATACTGATAGATGGGTGACGGCGACTTCTTTAACCAACCTTAGGCCGACAATAACAACTTCGTACTCCACTTAATCAACCCTTCTAACACTATACCTACTCCACTACCCTTCAGGTTAGATGATCCATCTAACGAAAAATCTGTTAGGATTTGAGATTTTATGCTATTTCGAGCCTCGACATATCTCGTATTTTGACAATTCGACAGCCCAGGATACCATCCTCCCAACCAAATCCACTATATTTGTCTTACCGGGCGGGTAGTTTGGCGAGTAGTTTGTCCTCGCCGTGCTGGGATATTTCTGAAAATAACGTCTCAACTTCCTGACTGTTACCACCGATAATGCACCTTCGCTCCTTTCAGGTCGGCTCAAGGATTTGTAAACATACATATAGAATACTATGGTCATGCATGCTTGTCATGCTTATCATGCCCAAGTGTCATCACCTTCATCTAATAATAGATTTCTCAATAAACTGGTTTCAAGTGAAATGTTACATATAAAACGACTGAATGTCTGTGAATTGTTATTTTCCTAAAAAAGTGGTTTCGAAGTTACTATATTTTTTTCTTGTAAAAGTGGTTTTGAAGTTACTGTATTTCTTATACAAAATTGAAGTATTGTCTAGAAAATTATTTTATATAAAATCACTCGTGTAAAACGTTAAAAATGAACTTATATATTTTATTTTATTTTACTGCGTGTCTAATGCGTAACTTCAACCTTCAGATACGTCGGTAAGCGTAAACAATATTTAAATATTTTCAACTTTCTTTTCTTCGTTTTCGGTATAGTTTCAACTTTCTTTTCGCTAATTAAAAAGACAACACGGTTTTTATTAGACAAAGAAAAAAACACGCATTAAAGGAGGAAAAAAAAATCAACTACACAATTTGTGATTAGTATTCAAATTCATATTCCTATTTTATTTAAACACTCTTTTGATTGGTCAAGATTGTTTGACTATCTTTCTTATCGAAAAAAATAAAGCATATAAAAAAAAAAACAAAAGAAGAGGAAAAATTTAATTCACAAAAATAAAAAAGAACTACAGTAATTACAGAAAATATTCAAAACCATAATTAAACCTCTCAGCTAATAAAATTAAGTTATCGGAAAAAAATTGTTAAAATCTTAAAACTGTGATTACTCTGAAATTCACGTTGATTTAGCTCCTAAAACAAGCCATGGAATCGATTCAGAAGCCTTCACTGGATCAGAAACGGTTGTAATCGTTTTATAGTAGGGTGATTTCGCAGCAACTCTGTTTTTTCTCTTCTCCATGAATCTAAGAAGTGAAGCTTTTCTAGCAATTGGCATGTCAACAACAATTGTCCCACAAGGTAGTTTCGGAACCGGAGTAACCAAAGACTGTGTCGGTGTCTGTGTCTTGGCAAATGACTTTAACTCTTCCACTTTTTCAGCCGGAAAATCATCCAGAACAATAACTTGTCCATTATAAAACATAGTCAATTGTGCCGCTTTACCTTTCGGTTCCTTAACCATAGACCTGTAAAGAATATTGCATGCAAATAATTATGAAATGATCTCATGTGAAATAGAATCTGAACAAAACACAAAAAAAAAAAAGAAACTTACATTGGAGTTAAGAAATCCATAGTGGTAAGATTCTTTGGTGTAACAACGTTTGTTATGTTACCGGAATTACCATTGTGTTTGATGTATCGGCTGAGGAGGTTGCATGTTTGAGAAAACGTGGATTTCTCCGATGAAGTCGACATTGAGAAAGAGAATTGAATATGAAGAATGAGGTTTTGTTATGTTAATGTTAGGTTGTTTTTTTATATAAAGAATGGTTGTTTTGAAATGAAATAGAGGCACGAGGAATAAATGGGTGGTACCTACTCTGACCTATATTGCACTTGTAAAGTTGGTTCATTGAACACGTGTTATTTGTGTTTGGTAAACAGAAGCGGCGAGGTTTGTCGTTGATTGTTTATGTTGCTTTTTGAAAATTGAAATATTAATTTAAGGTGGGTGGGTTACTGTTTACTGACATTATGGGACGTTTTCGAGGCAAGTATCACGTGAACAAACTGCGTCTGCGTCCTTTTCTTTTTCTTTTTCTCTATTACAAGTTTTTTTATTCTCTTGAAATTGGTGGAAAAAAATTAATTACATTTTATGAATAGGAATACTATTTCTATTCGTTTATCATGTGCTAATAATGTCATATTTTTAATAAAAATTAATAAAAAACGTTTATTGTAATTTTTAATATAACATACAATGGCTTATCTCTAATTTTTTAATAACAAATTATGAATGGTTAATTGTTTATAGCATATTAGAATTAAATTTGCAATCTTTCATTTTGTTTTACCGATCAAAGGCATAAAAAGATTAAGATTCGATTGATGAGTTTAGTTTGGAGGATGACATATTATCTCCTTTTTTTTCTTTTCTTTTTTAGTTGCAGTAGAGGGATTTAATATTTTGATCAACGGGTGAAATGTTTTTAAGGGTATAGAGTCAGTTTTGATGATAGTTTGATAATTTCTCATTTATAGTTTACGGATGACACTTTGTTGATGGGATTTAAGAGTTGGACGAATGACTGAACTCTTAAAGTAGTGTTATTGTTGTTTGAATCTATTTCGGGTTTAAAAGTTAATTTTAATATGAGTATGTTGATGGGTATGAACATTTCTAATTCTTGGTTGATGCAGGCAGCTTTGGTGTTAAACTGTAAACTGGAAGTGATTATGTCTGTGTATCTGGGGTTGCTTGTTGGGGAAATCGGCGTAAGCTTAATTTTTTGTTTCCGTAGTTGGATAGCATCTGAAGCAGGTTATTTAGGTGGAAAAGTTGTAATTTATCTTTGAGAGTCGGTTGGTTTTGTTGAAGTCTGTTTTGTCCTCTATCCCGGTTTATTTCCTTTCTTTCTTCAAGGCTCCTGCGGGTATCATCTCTTCCCTTGAATCTTTATTTAATATTTTTGTGGGATGGTAGGTGTTGCACCCCAAAATTTACCCTATTGATTTTTGAACTTTAAAGGCTTATGTTTCATCATATGCACTCATGCACTTAGACAGGATCAAAGTATGTTTAGTTTTCACGATCTTCTACAAGCTATGAAAGTGGTTGTGTTGACAATCAGTGCAAGAAGGATCTCATTCCCTCAATATTTGGATCTCTCGAGCTTTAAGGGATCCTCATACCTCAAGGCATCTCAATTGTCTCTTTGATTCATCAGAAATTGGGAATTACAATTGTTGATTTTTGAATCACTTTTCTCTCATGTATCTCTTGAGATTGGGGTTCTGGTCAAATGAAGTGTTTGAGGGCTTGCATGAGCCAAATTTGTGAAGTATCATCTTCTCATCATCATTGGAAACATTTTTGTTCAAACAATTTCTCAACATGATCAAAGGAATTAGGGTTTTGAAGCTTGATCATCATCTCCTAGCACAAAGGGCCAAAACTAGGGTTTTAGATTTAATAAAAAAATATCTAACTTTTTGGGAAAGATTTGATTCCATGATTCTCTACATGTTTATGAGCACCTATGACTGGAAGATTGAACATCAATTTTGATTAGAAGAGGTTCAATTGATTAAAAGGGGCAAAATAGTCATTTTAACTAAAGTCAACAAAAGTCAACTGTGGTCAAGGGGATTTTTGGTCAATATGAAATTCAACATCCCTATTTTCATATTTCATGGTCATTTATGAAAGGAAATCAAGAGAGTTGTTGAATTTGAAGATAACTTGTCAAATAAGTTATTTAAACTTTTGAAATTTTCCAAATGTTCCTAGTACTAAACTTTGGATGATGATGAATTTTTCAATTTTTATTGAAAATATGCAAACCTTATATGGTTGGAAAGAGGAGAGAAAGTTATTCAACCTTGTCCTTTTGGTGTCAAGACCCAAAAGGGATTATTTTAAGAGATATTTGGCTTGGAAATTTCTAGACAGTTAGAGATTTTTATGATTTTTTGACTAAAAGGATGATTTCTTCATGTCCACTTTTGAAGTGTCAAATGGCTTCAATTTTGAAAAGTGACAACATCAAAATTGTAGCTTGAATCCTCATATACATTTTTTATATAAGAATTATCTCATTTGGTTGTGTATAGAGAGAGATATGATGGTCAGGATCTCAAGTCTTGAGAAGGCAAGTATGCCTAGCAAAGGAGGCTTCGCGCGCGAAATTTGATCAAACAGATGGTAGGCATACCTTCACCATCATTTTTCTTGCTGAATTAATCATAATTTCAAAAATGTTTGAACATCAAAGTTAGAGATTATTGTGTCCTCTTAAATTTTGATTCGAGAATCATTTTATTTTGGACATTATAGAGAAAGTTGTAGGGTTGTGAACTCAAGGGCACCATGTGCTATTTTTCTGGCCAGAAAATATGTGGTACGCGCGCAGGGTAGCCTGGACAGGTCACTCTTCATTTTTTTCCATGCCAACTTTCCACCAACTTACAAGCATCATCTTGAACTTCCATCAACTACAATGTTGTTGCTCATCATGTAAGCTTTCCATAGGCCTCATCTTTTTTAAAAACACACGAGGGAATTTTGTGATATAATGAATTTGTCATGACTGGTCTAAAAGGTGCATGTCAAGGCAGGTGTACATGAGATAAATTCCGTTGCATGATGTTTATCATGTACCCCATGCACATTACACACATCATTATCTCATCATTATTATTTCCAAATTAAGCAGGCAATGCCCATAAAGCATGTTCACAAATTTCAAAAAATCCTTGCCAAAATAAGAAACTTTTCTCCCACCCTATGTGCATATTCGTGCCTGCTCACCACTCATGCTTTCCTCACTCATTTTTATTCCTTATCCACTTCTCAAAACATAGCAAGAGTGTCTAGACTTGAACTCAAAACGCATGCTTTCCCTTCAATTCATTTTAGCCACAAACTTCCACAATTGCCCTCCAACAGCTCCAAGCTCAAATTGTCTATCTTGCCCTCAACAGAAACTTCCTCACCACTCTTTATCTTTATATATAAGCATATCATCACCCTCATTTGCTGACACACTTCCTTATTCACTCACAACATACTTTAAGCTCTTTCTTCAATTTTCAAACGGTTTTCGGGCTCTCTCTCTTATCTCTTGCTTCAAGCTACTAATTTTCACCAATTAATCTCCATTGAAGCTCAATGAGAAGATCTATTGAGTTTCTATCTCAAATCAGAGGCATAGTGTGAATTTATTTTTCACTCCTTGAGGTAAGATTTTATGAACTTTGTATCACCATTTCAGCATGAATTTGTGGTGTAAATCTTGTTGTTATCATGCTAGTTGGTCGGGTCTTAGATCTGATGTATGAATTGGTTGAAATCTTTGCTTGATTCTTGTTTAATAAGTTGCTCAAAATTATGTTTGAACCAGTGCTTTCATGCTTATATTTTGTTTAGATCTTGCATCATTTGGTGAATTCATGAGCATTTTGTTGTTCCTTGCATTTTTGTGATGAGTTTTGATGTTTGGATCAAGTAAAATGGTTAAGAAACGAGTGAGATACGTGGATATGAAAAATGTTTGATATAATGCTTAACTTGAAATCATGTTCATGCAGTAACTTTCGCGTTGCTTTTTCTCTATGATCCATGCATCTTTTGGGGATTTTCTTGATTCTATCGTGTTCTACTCATTGAGATCTTGATGTTTGATGTTTACACTTTGCGTTTTCATAGAGAAATAAGAGAGGAATCGTGAACTGAATGTAGCTTGTTAAAACTGAAATAGTTAGGGCTCAGTTACAGAGACGATTACATGGCACTTTCTAATTGAACATGATTCAGATTCTCTTATAGCTTGTTTTGATTGAAACAGGTGTAATAGATCCCATTTTTATTTGAATTTTCATTCAATTTTAATTGTTTTTCCTAATTTTGTTTTAATATTTTTCTTGATTAAAAAATTATCATAAAAATATTATATACTTTACTTTTAGTCTATTTTCTAATTATGAATTTTATTTCATATTTTTATTATTTTTGCATGATTAAATAAATTCACTTAGTTTAATTAGGTATTTTAATCACCTTTTAAGATTTTGAATTTTGTTTTCCAATTTTCATCGACCTAAAACATGCATAAAAAATATTTTGAGTTGTGTTTTGAGTTTAATTCATGAAAATATTTTTCTTATTTTTATAAAAAAATTTAGCATGCTAATTTAATCAATTGGTTAGCTATGTCATTATTTTTGCTAATTTTGTTGTTTTGTGCAAATATTTTATGTTAAAATTTTTCCTAAGATAAAATTTCATAAAAATATATTTAATGTTCCTTAGATATTAATATAATTTTTCATAATTTTTAACTTTATTTACAATACAATTTACTTGCTTGTTTGATTTTTAGAAGTTAATTGTTGTTTTTGATCCTTTTCCTTTCCTGGGCTTAAAGAAACACTTAAGTCTATAATTTTCCTCACCTCTAAAAATCAAGAAAAATAAGTTTGATGCTATTGGATGATTCAAGGTAACAAAAATTAATTTTTTTGAATTTTTACTCCTGACTTTATATTTTCTTTGGAATAATTTTGTTAAACCTCTCTAGTTCGAGCCTTTTGCCAACTAGTCTTAATAACTTTAATTCATTTTTACTTTTTCATGTCAATCCAAGAACTTAAAATGAAGTTTCTGACTTTTATAAGTATTTAGGAAGTTAGGATTTAATGGACATGAATCTAAAAGTTATTTTTCTATTTTTAACCTAATTTTGACTTAGAGG